TCGCTAACTTAATATGCCCACCCAATACATTCGGCCGGAATGCCGACGAATTATTCTTTCCCTCGACTTTATCAGCCGTGGAACGTTCTTTCGGTTTTTGTCATTTCTGCATCAAAGCTACCCATTAAAATACGGCTTGACGGTGTACTACACCATGTGTATTACTTGATATGATTTCCATTCATTGAGTGACGACAGGTCAGTGCAATACATGTCAGCTAGAGGTGGTAAAACACCTACGCTATTGTACCGCAATACATAAAGTAAATACATACATACATAAAATACATAAAGGAAAAATAAATACGACAGTTGCATGCCAGCTGAGCTACCAGCAACGGATAGGCATCGTTCCGGTAAGCTACCAGCCGGCTACTAGGCAAAAACAAAAATTTAATTATGTTTTACCCTACGAAATAAGATCGTAGATGGAGGGGAGGCTAAAAGGAATGGGGAGGGACAAAGAAACTCACAGCAGGAACTTCACTGAGGTCGGCTCCTTTCCATGTCAGCAAGTGTATCCAGCCAAACGTGTTCACCGTCTTCTGAGCCCGACAAAAAAAAAAAAAACAAGGACAAAATCTAAAAGCAAATAAAGATGCAAGCAACAGCACAACAGAAAAAAAAAAACGTAAAACCAAAAAAGAAAACAATAAACATCAAAATCAAAAAAAACCCCCAAAGAAAAATAAAAACAAAAAATAAAAAACCACAAAAGACCAATAGCAAATCAAAAAAAAAAAAAACCAAACACCAAAACAACTTATGATCCACCCCCCCCCCCCCCCCCCCCCCCCCCCCCCCCCCCCCCCCCCCCCCCCCCCCCCCCCCCCCCCCCCCCCCCCCCCCCCCCCCCCCCACCCCCCCCCCCCCCCCCCCCCCCCCCCCCCCCCCCCCCCCCCCCCCCCCCCCCCCCCCCCCCCCCCCCCCCCCCCCCCCCCCCCCCCCCCCCCCCCCCCCCCCCCCCCCCCCCCCCCCCCCCCCCCCCCCCCCCCCCCCCCCCCCCCCCACCCCCCCCCCCCCCCCCCCCCCCCCCCCCCCCCCCCTCCCCCCCCCCCCCCCCCCACCCCCCCCCCCCCCCACCTCCCCCCACCCCCCCCCCCTCCCCCCCCCAACCCCCCCCCCCTACCCCCCACCCACCCCCCACCCCCCCACCCCCACCCACCCCACTCTCCCACCCCCCCCCCCCCCCCACCCCCCCCCCCCCCCCAACCCCCCACCCACCCCCCCCCCCCCCCCCCCCCCCCCACCCCACCCCCCACCCCCCCCCACCCCACCCCCCCCCCCCCCCCCCCCACCCCCCCCACCACACCACCCCCCCCCCCACCCCCCCCCCCACCACCCCACCCCCTCCCCCCCCCCACACCCCCCCCTCCCCCCCCCCCCCCCCCCCCCCCCCCTAAAACCCCCATGGAGCCGTGAAGCTCGAACCGAGGCTAGCTCCGAAATGAGGGACTTCATTCCTCTGGACCAAGTCATCGCTTGGCCACCCCTCCTCTTCTGCCACCCACATCCCCGGTGAGCAAATAACGCACGTCGAGGGAGTCGGTGGGCTGGCATGCGCAACACGTGGCCAAACCATCGGAGCCCGGTGCGGGAAATAACGGTGTTGAGCCGTTCATTCCCTTTCCCTGGGCCGTAAACAAGTCGTCGAACACGATCGTTACTCACGCGGTGTTCCTACCAGATGTGAGCGAAACTGCGAAGGCACCGATGGTCGAACGTAACTAGCCTTTTCCTGTCCGCCGATCTTAGGGGCCAGGTTTCACAACCGTACAGTAAGGTCGAACGTACCGCTGCATTGTGCACTCTACCCTTCAGGGCGAAAGTGATGTCGCGCCGCCGCCATAGGTGGCGAAGGTCAGCAAAAGCACTTCGAGCTTTCGCCATACGGTTCGTGATCTCGTCTTCGATCCCAAGGGCGCTGATACAACTTCCCAGGTAATTGAATTTCTGAACGACTTCTAGCTGATCTAAACCAAGGGTCAGCACAGTGGGCGATCCCTGCCAATCTTGGAGGAAGGCTTTGCACCTCGATGGTGCAAAGCAAAGCCCGAAGCGACTGACAGTCAGTGATAATCCGTCCAGCGCGGCTTGGTACGTCTGGGAGCTAGCACAGATGAGGGCAATGTCGTCAGCATACTCCAAGTCAAGAAGTCGTTCTCCTGGGAGTAGCTTCACACCTCCCAAGTCATGTCCTGTAAATGCAATCTCCATGACTTCGTCAATAGCGAAGTTGAAGAGGAAAGGTGACAGTGGGCATCCTTGTCTCACACCGCTGGAGGTATTGATGGGTGGCGACAGCTTGCCGTAAGCCCTCAATCTGCCCGTGCCACGCGCATATAATGATTGGATAATATTTACATATTTCTCGGGCACACCTTTCCTGAGTAAACAATTCCAAAGGGCACATCGATCAACCGAATCCAAGGCACCTTTGATGTCGAGGAACACGACTACAGTGGGCCGCCAATATGTGTGACGGTGCTCCAACAACTGACGCAAGGTGAAGATGTGGTCGATGCAGCCAAGACCACAATGAAACCCGGCTTGCTCTTCATGAATCTGGCTTTCACGAGCGCCAGTCGGTCTGTGAAGAATTATGGAGGCGAGTAAATCGGAGGCGATGGAGATCAGACTGATCCCTCTATAGTTGCCGCATTCCGAGCGCAAACCTCCTTTGAAGATGGGAACAATAACGGAGCGGCTCCAGTCGGTTGGAACAATCTCCTGCTCCCACAGTTTCACTATTAATTCATGCAAAGCATCAACAAGTGCAGAGCCTCCGCATTTGAAGAGGGCTGGAGGAAAATCATCTGGTCCCGCGGCTTTGTTCAACTTCAACAGTTCGATATCACGTTCGACTTCTGAGCGAGAGCGTGGATCTAAATGGACAGCCCACGGAGCAGGGCGATCAGTGACCGACGAATCGAACAATTCTAGCCGAGTAAATTGCTTTCCAAAATGCTCCAAACGCTCCAAACGTTTTGACAAATTGTGGATAGGCTGTCCACTCTCATCACAAATTGTTTCACTAACACCAGGTCTCCTGCTGCCCGTTTCCCAAATCAGACGGAATAACTTACGATGGTTGCCAAGGGCAGCGGCCACTTCCATCTCTGACGCACGATGAGACCACCAGGATTCGCGGTCTCTCTTCAGGCTAGCACGGAGTTTTGCCCGGAGCTCTTTGCGAGTTTCATTGTGCTCGCTTCCAGTCGGGATATGCCGGCGAGCGTCGATAAGTTTCAGAGACCGAGAAGAGACCCAATGTCCATGTTGGTGATTAGACATACCACATGAGGATTTGCCCGCTGCTAGTAAGGTCTGGTGAACAATAGACCAGTGACCATCAACTGTCTCCAGTGGGCGATTACTCAACTCGCATGTCAGCGTACTTCAATACGCATTCAGAACAGCTAGCTTTGTCAGTCGGCTGGTGTCAATGCGCTCACAGCGTCGTCGTGGGCGTCCGCCAAAACGCATCCGCAGGTCAGCACATACAAGTGCATGGTCGGTGTCCACACATGTGCTCCAAATCGAGCGACAATTTTGGATGCAGCCTCTCCAGCGGTAACTAATAGCAATGTGATCGATCTGCGTCCAAAGCTGGTTCGAGGCTGGTGGGCGCCAAGTCACACTTCGGCGGGCGCTGTGTCGGAAATTAGTGCTCGCAAGAAATAAGCGAGCATCTTCACACAAATGAAATAACCGCTCAACGTTATCATTATGGGAGCCTACACCGTGTTGACCGCCCAGATGCATTTCATCAGTGGACAACTTTCCATCTTGTGCGTTTATATCCCCTACCAACACAACAGCGTCCGTGCTTCATCTGTGGTGAAGGAGTTGGGTCAGTTGGCGGTAGAAGTCGTTCTTTACCGAATCATCGCTACAGTTTGTGGGCGCATAGGCAGCGATGATGAATAGACATCTATTAGTCCCGCGCGACTTCGAAGCTTTAAACGAGCCAGCCAATCGGACCGCACACATCCAGCTACTGATTGGAATCCAATCAACCAGAGTAGTTTCAGCCCGGGGATTCAGGGCAATGCCAACACCGGCTTGGCTGGTACACGAAGCTGCATCGTCACCGGATAGGCGCAATGAGAAAATACTGCTTGCGTCACCTGAAGGGGATCGCAGAGTGAGCACAGTGCTCGAGTCTTGCAGGCGAGTCTCTGATAAGCAGCAGATATCGATCGAGAGGGTCTCCAATGTTCGGGCAAGTGCCGCCTGTTGACCGATTTGTAGCAGCGTGCGTACATTGAGGCATGCCAATCTGAAGGAGGATCGGGGGCACCAAACGGAAGTCGATGAACTGGAATGGACCGTTTGGTTGGACATGGGCTTGTCGACAGGAGAGAAGTGATGCTCCGCGTTCACATGTGAATTGAAATTAGAAGGTGAATGCCTAGCGAAGCATGTTGGGGGAGGACCGAGAATTGGGGGTTGAAAACTGGGGGGATATAAGTGAAGTTGGAAGGGGACGGTAAGAGTGAAAAAGCGTAAGAGGGGGAATAAGAAGACGAGAAGGTTTGAGCAGTAGCATCAAATCCCTATCCACCCTGCTCGATGCAGCCGATAGGACACCGTTGATTATCCTCTGCGGTGGCCAGAGCATCAAGAAATTGTTTGAAGTAAGATTCATAGTATTGCGTGGGAAGGATACTGTCAGGATGCCCAGACCTAGACAGAAGAACGTTTAGGGTTCTCAACCAAAGCTTTTGGTTCAAAAACCTGACCGCAAGGCAGCGGGTTTGGCGTTGGGCTACAAGGAGTCCGTTTTTAGGAATAAGGAGCCACCCTCATTCCAACCCCCAAACCTGGAGGACCAGGAGGCTGAGTTTGTCTGGCCTCTAACCATTGACCAATCTGGTATGAGTGACTCTGAAGGTGCAAAAGCACCACCCAGCATAGCTCAATGGATCGCTGAGGCACACAAACCATCGCACCACGGTAAGGTCCAGCCTCATTGCGATGGAGTGACGACAAGACGTAGACAAACACTGTGCTCACCAACCCCCACAAAAGGGGGTAAACGAATTTACTTGTATAACGTGGACAATATAGTGAGTCCACATGAACCATTCCACAAGGCATATCAATCCTTGGTTACCCTTTTTACGCCAGTGTTCCGTTGTTCCATTTTCCAATTGTAACGCGAGTCCCTGACCATTAAACCACGCTGTCACAGTAACATAGTTGTTATGGTGAATAAATCGATACTACTGTTTGTAGGAAGTAGTTTAATAACTTTCTAATATCCTGCAGTGCACAGACTTGCCTCGATCGTTGATGTTTTGACCTCCTACACCTTCGGGACCCACATCGGTTCGCACGCTTCCATGCCGTAATTTCTCGGTTTGTGAACAATCATGGTGTTTATTATTACGACAGCCGACGATGCGTCTCCAGTAATGGGTCAAAATCTGTTAGGTCATGGATATTTGTGTTCACGGTAACATTATGCAATATCATTGTGCTTTATGGCGACACGGTCCGCTAGAATACGGGGATTACCAGTGGTAAACCATTGTGGGTATTAGGCGGATAAGGAAGTGCGTGAACTTTAGAAAAGAGAACGCTGTCGGATAATTGTACTAGATGAATGTGGCGGTATGGATATTGCCCCGACTTGCTAGCTTATGAAATACTGACTAAAATGAACATCCCATTGTACATAGACGATCGATGCAGTCTGTTGAATCAAATGTAGAATTTGTTTATCCGAACTAAGAGCACTACACACCATCCCACACACGACATCACGGGTGGATCTGTCACGCCGCTCCATCAAGTGGCACCGGCCATCTTACCGTAACTAGTGTCGCGACTTACCGATGTCGGTTGTTGGCGAATAGACGGGACCATTGTACACGCTATTAATCGACATTCGTCCCGTCACTTCCGGGCATTCTCCTTAATCATCGGTAACGGTAATCGCCGGTAGACAGGCAGCTACGCAAGTCTATCAATGGCTAGTTATAGCCTCCGCTAAATGCTTTTGGAACCTGTCATTAACCTGTCACGACATACAAGGTTTTTACAGAGTAGAAAAATTGCGCATTGTTTAGGACCCTGGTCACACGAAAATTGCACTTCAAAGCCCATTCCAAAGTGTAATGGCCGTAGAAATGAATACAGCTGAGTTGATCGTCCTATACTATTCCGAATTCCCTAAGTAATAGTGGTTAAAACTTGGTGACTGCGTGTTAAAGACGCTACGTTATCGATTCCCTAATATGAAACAACTGGGAAACTGAAACAACTACGAAAGTTACATACTTACAAAATTTGAAAATACTGGGAGTTTCCGGTTGACATTTGTGCGGATTACGCGCATACTCAGTATTGTTCGATAGCCTAGTAACCAAGCTAGATTACTTAAATCGCCAATTACTTATACTCAGCCATTGCACCAACTTCAGAGGTAGTAACCTGAAAGTAATTAATCAATACAACCGTCTGTAGTGCAGATGAAATTGCTATATCCTTTAGTCTACAAATGCTGGAAGGCTCACCAAATTCAATTATTTTCTCCACTATACTGGCTAGCTTCATTGAACGACAGACAGAATAACACACTTAGCTCCACTCACGCTGTAGTTTTGACCATCATACTAAAGAATATCTGTGACATACTGTTATAAGGTTTATATACTACATTTAGTCAGAATGAAAGTGGTGCGTCAGCGACCGGCATTATTTTCCTCCAAGCTATTTGATGTGCTAAGATCAAATTACCCATTTCAGCTACCATTACTCATAAAATCAATTAAAGCATGCTACTAATCTAAATTTGTTCACCGCTTCATTGGCAGGTGCTTAGATTATTAACATCTGTATCTCCTGGTTTTATCATTTTTCCCGTAACTACCCCTTACTTTATTACCGTTTGTGATTTACGATCCAAAATAAGATAATTGACAGTCTAACGAGAAATGTGTTGCTGGAGTCCACCGGCATCATCCGCGGTGCAGCAACGTGCGTGCGAGTGTCCAATGAGAAGGTCATGCCCCACTGAACGGACCCAGTGGGAAAAATGGCCTTCGGAGCCTTTCTGCATCGTAATGATAGCGTGAGTGAGGCTAGAGGTGGGCAACCTTATTAAAGATCCGCCCGTCGTTTACCCAGCCGGATCTGTGCAATTCGGAGGATGAGGTGTGCTTCTTGTTGTTCTGCGATTGCCAAATGCCAGGTATTGTGTAAGACTTCGTAGCTGTGTGATTCAACTCTATTCTCTGCAAAATTTGCAACTTACATGCTAATGGTGCATTTAACGGTCTGCTAGGACCGTTTACCGCTGACCACGCTGCCTTTATCTCTCCTCATTTATGCCATCTTTGCTGAATAAGATTATCTTCGCCATACTAGCCATAAAAACTGTAACAGATGGTCCAGTCGGGTGGACAGATGGACTAGGGGAACGAACTAGATACTAATGAGTGGCCAACCCGTCTGATTCCGTCATTGGACACGGTAAACAAAGAGGCCCGCGAAAGGGGAAATCACGTTGATCTTCTTGTCATTGGTTTAACTAGTAGAAAAGGCATCAGTAGTGCGCCAATACATAGCGCCGACGCTTTGCTGCCACGCTACCAGCAGTTGTCGCTCGCGTACCAAGGATGGTGCCAGGTTGCCCGTACCTATGCACATCCTAACCGACTACCCGTGAAGTAAAGTACAGACATCATAAGAACCGCACTGACTCAAAACCGTCGAAGGTAACGAACCTGGAACAAGATAATCACATGCCAGGTATGCAGTCCTTTTCATTTCTTTACTTCCATTGAATAGACCGTCTGTCTCTGCAGGACCCAATGGGACCGTCTTTGTGGACTTCTTGCACACACCCGCACAATGAGTGGATGGCTAAGCTAAATGTGATTTGGAAACTGGTTGCTATAGACCTCACATAAATGTGAAGCGCCATTCACTTTGAAGTGACTCATCAAGAATTCTGACACTGGTCGTATCTACGTCCGGAATCGAGTCACAGTTACGCTAGATCCACCCGTCTGAGGCAAAGAAATACAAAGCAGATAGCGCGGTGCAGTTTTTCTAACGGTAAACACTTCGTATTTGTCCATATCAAACACGGTTCCAGTAACCGGTTTGTGACATTCATTTCAGCAGAAAATGCACTCGTTGCGAGATTGGATTGCGACGCGCAATCGCCACTGTTGTCTTGTGAGTTCGAAAGGCCCCAACGTTTCCTCCTTTTAGACCATTATGCGTCTTTTACCAGGGATGCATATTTGCTCTTACCTTATATTAAGTGGCATCGCTGTATACACCTATTTCCGGTCCAACCTGTATGGTCATCCGTGTCTCTCCGACATTGAACATAGATTTTGCACAAAACTTCCTCCATTCACCCACGCACGCCGCGGATTTTTGGAGTACCGCGCTGCATTCCCCTTTTTCTTAAAGATGACTGTGTTAGGCATCATCAGTCTGTTTGAATTGTGTAACAATATTTTCCTTTTGGTGTATTACTCAAAAGGTGCCGAGTTGGTGGATGTTCTCTGGCTAATTTCGGAGTTTTCATTGATTGGACCAACTGCCGTCTGTGTTCGCCATTTTGGATTTGTTGTACGGTAATCAACCATCATGACCGCCACACCGTTAACTCGAAACAAAGCAGTCTGTGCTAATCAAACTTGTGCTAAGATAGTAAAAGGAGGATTGACTTGTACAAATTGCCAAGACCGGTACCATTCGAGACTCGTCAACGTCTGTAGAACCGACATAAAGAAATACAATACGCCGGGTTCACTTTGTTTCTGTTCGAAGTGCACGACAATTCAACTAGTAAAATGCGTACTAGCGTTGACACAAAAGTGCGACAACCTAGTCGCCTAAAGTGGACATCGTTTGAGTGCAAAAATTGACTCGCTCGAGGCAACAACAGCATACCTTGTACCTTATCCGTCGCCTTCAATTGCTGCCTCGCAACCAAGGAAAACGACCAGGCCTTCACACGGACACGCAGTACTAGAAGCCTTGGGAACCACGAACCAACTCGTCATCGCGACCGATAGAAGCATTCCTAGCCCCACCGCCCACATCCTCTTATCCAACGTACCGACTGATGCAACCTCGATAACACCCACCCCTCCGATTGACCAACGAAATCCGAAGAGCTCGAAAGACCGATCCGCCAATGCAACCGTTGCTTCGCCGTATAATCGAAGTGCGACCTCAGTAGCCTCACTCCGTACAGCAGCAAAACAGACCAATAAACAGGTGCAACCTACAGGGACGTCACTAAATCCCTCGATAACCCTGCGTCCCACATCACCGAAGACTAGGCGGAACTACGGGGCCTTGACACTTATATGCACCAACGTTCCTGCATCCAAGGCAAACTTCTTAAGTGGTAACCAATTGGAGGATTTACAGTAATGGACTTTCCTTGGTGATAAAATCGGGGTTCAGGCCAGTCCGACCAATATAACGTGCATCACTGGATTTGGCTGTACCCAAGGACTCTGCGGATTTTTGCTTTACTGTGCTGGATTCTAATTTGCTTTGGGAATACTGTATTATACGTGTTTCCTCTGTGTGAATTATGCACCAATACCTTGCTTTTGGTGTGTTTTTCTGTCTGTGCGAATTTGGTGGATAATAGCCGCCTACTGTCGGAGATCTCACTGATTGGCCTAGCTGCCGTCTGTGTCCGCCAACTTGGACTTGTTCTACAGCAATCTAACCGGGGTCTGCCACACCACCAACTTGACCGACGGCGTTTGGATTCAGCATACTAGTGCAAAAGTTGCAACCAACGACTTCTGCAGATCTGACAGGCACAATGGCGCTTACTGCTTACCCACGGAAAGCTAACCCCAAAGCTTCCGAAATGAACGTTAGTTATGGTGTAGACAGCTGTGTAAAACTTGTGCGATTTGGAATAGACTGCAGAAACTGCCAAAAATCCTTCCATTCTCGATGTGCTCGCCTTAGGCTCAGTCAGATAATCATCCAAAAGTTTGACTGAATCAAGGGGAATGCTGATCCACAGCAAACCAAAAATTCCCAATTATTAGAATGAATCAAGGGAGGCAGAATTTGAGTAAAGAATTCTTTTCGGCAATTCTCATCAGACTCAAACATTACATGATTAGGAAAAATGCTAAATGTGCCGGATTGGGCTGCGTATTGAACACAATGTTT